GCTTCTTTTCAGCTTTCCTTTTATAGAATTTATTTAATACTGAAACAAAGGCAGTCACTGAATGTAGGGTGTGATGTCCAGAGACCGGTGTAGCCCTCGATATAATGATATAACTGACAGTGGGAATACTATAATGACAACTCTCAAGTTGTTTACTTCTATTCAGATCTCCTAATAAAAGGCCAACATACATAAGAGGTTCAAGGTGAATTACTACCTTTGACAGCTTTGATACTTAAAGTCTCCACCTCCCCCTTACATGCAGTAATCACACAGATCAGAAAAAGCAGAGGAACCTGTTTCTTTACACAAAACGTACTCTCACATGTAGCGACGCCGGACCTGTTGTGCTCATTTCCAGCTCTATTATTTAATCTAAAAGGGTAACTTTTCATAACTGCGAGTTCTTATATGTGCCTGTAACTTCAAAGTCTTTTTAAGGCAACATTTTTTAGACTGATTGCGGTTAGCAAAAAATAAATCAATTATAAAAAAGGCAAGACAGCATAAAAACGTATTGTATCTTGCAGTGCTCCTCCTTACGTCCCCATGGCGTGAATACTAATCTGAGGTAAGGAAGCACTACTTTAAAAAATCTGTTCAACTGGACTGGAAAGTTAATCAGTAAATAATTACCTAGCAAGAAATGGAAATCAGCAGGTTTACTTTCAGTAGCCTCAGCGCTGTAATTACTTTCAGGAAACTTTGATCTAGAACACTTAAAATATAAAATCAAAATGTATGTTTTGTTCCAATCAGTGATTTGAAAGGCTGCACTGACACGATCAACAACCGTGATTAGCTACAGTCAGAACGGCTGATGGCGTAAACACAGTTAAATATTATCGGTTGCTGTGTTTATTGTGAGACTGTGTGATTATGACAGATCTAATTCCATGCTACAATTTCAGAATCAAACTCTGAACATTCTGTTAGAGTCCCCAGGCCACCTATGTCTGGAAATCAAATGTTACTGAGTGATCACAAGATTGCCACCACGAAATTAGTAGTGTGTGGCCGCAAGATCAAAAAATCATGACCATTTTTTTCTTCTTTCAGATGGTCCGTTTTGGGGGTCACCACAGTGGATCATGACCAAACCATCTCAGACTTGTTTCTCCACCTTTGTCTCCAAACTGCTCATCCTAAGCTGATGTACTCATTTCTAATCTTCTTCATTCTGGTCATTTCTAATGAAAAGCTCCTTTTTTTTGTCAGCGTTAGTGTCTCCAAACCATACATGTCAGCAGGTCTCACTACCACCTTGTCAAGCTTCTCTTTTACTCTCGCCGCTATCCTTGTGAGACAAATCACCCCTGACACTTGTCTACACTCGCTCCACCCTGCCTGCACTCTCTTCTTCACCACTCTTGAGCACCATCCATTGCTTTGGATGGCTTCACCTTCACTATATCTCCTTCTTGCATCTTCACCTTTCCACCTGTCTCCCTCCCATTAACACACATATATTCTGACTTGCTTCTCCTCACTTTCTTCCCTCTTCTCTCCAGAGCATACCTCCACCTCTCCAGGCCCTCTTCCTCCTCCTCACTATGTCAAAGTCCACACAGAGTCTACTGCCTGATCTCATCTATCAAAAATCAGGACCACCAGTTACTAATGTGCTGGAATGAGATAAATGAGTAAACTTAATCAGGGACAAGGCAGTGAGATCTATACTTTGCTCTGTTGTTTACCATCAACACTTGACGATTATTATTGGGACACTGATTTGCTTTTTAATTAGATTGATGAATTATAAGGACACTGTTTGACAAACACTGTTACATATGCACAGCAATCAGCAGGTCCCCAGAGAGGGTGCTGTTTCAGCAGGTAGAGGGAGGGAGAAGGGGACAAACCAAAGTGATATCCACATTGGACAATGGCCAAGTCCTTGCTGTTAAAACTAAATAAAACTGTCACGGCATACAAAGCTTAAGTTGATGTTTCATTTATGTTTCTGCACTTTATATGGACAGTGTTGACTAGGCCTGTGTTAGAGTATGAAAATCTGTCACATGCAATGTCAAGACTGCAAAAATAACATTACTTGTAATTAATAAATATTAAAAAGCATATATTAGCGATACAGTTCCAGTGTCTTTCTGCTTTAACGGGTAATCTACTAGCGCAACCACCGACTAACCTACACCCGCTGAACTATTTTCAACATGCTTTTGTTGTAGAAGGTCAAACATTCTCATGCTGCTCATCATTCTTATTGATGAGTTTCAGGCAACTTTCTATATTTTTTAATAGCAGATATTCCTGTTGTGATGAGGAAAATTATTAATTCCCACAAATTACCAACATTTAGCAAATCAATAATATCTTGTGGCTTTGCATTACTTTCAGAAATAGTTTTTTATGTATGCAGATTCTTATCTTATTCTTTTTGTGGAGCTGACTAACACTATGACAGCTACTGTACTAAAAAAGATTAAACTTAATCAGCCATTAGACAAAGCAGGCTGATAAAACAAAGTGCCAGTGGATGGATGCCCTTCCTCTTAATCTGCTGGTTCTCATTACAGGATGTGACACTGTCCTCCCAGCCAGCCCCCTCACCTTGACACATCTTATCTATAGTTTCCTCCACCGCTGCGAGAATCAGTCGCTACAAACACATGTTAGGCAAAAACATAGCCACTCGAGTTTACCATTATTATTATTTGCCAGCTAAGCACTACCATGTATAAAAGATTAGACCACACAGAATGCTAAGCACTACAAACCCTCTCCCATGTCAGAAATGGCAAGGCAGGGCATGTTCATTTGCTCCACACCACTTAGAGAAGAACAATATGCAGATAAACCTGGTCAACTAATTGCAGTAATGATTGCAAAATGTTCAGAGCTGTGCGGGCAGATAATCAGTGAAGCATCACAAGACTGAGCGGTAAATATGCTAATTTAAAGCCGAAGTAAATAGATGCTTGTTTCTCCCCCCGTCGTTTTTATGCTGCGAGTTTAGCCCTGCAAAGTTAACAAAATGCAAAAACACAGCACACTAATCTTGCATACATCCACTTCACACAGCACGCTTCGTAAGAGAGAAACATTCATTAGATTGGAAGGATATTAGTGCAGCCCTGGACACCACAGGCAGCTTTTAAAGCTCAGGTTTGGCCCAGCAAGTTGTAGAGAAGCATGCTTTTATATGTAAGGGAGCCCCAGGAAAAAAGCTGCATGCAATCCCACATAGCCGATGTGTCCTCTTAAACTGAAAAAAAGAAAAAATCCTCATAAAGTCTGCTGGTTTTCTTAAGTTCAGTTAAGCCAGTCTACGCCTCAGGATTCAAACCAGCCACCTTCCCTCCCCTTTTCTAAGAATAAACTGCTTTTCCTGCCTTTCATCCCCCCTCCGTCTCTCCCTGTGTGGCTGATGGACGGGATCACGAGGCCCTGGCTAAGTGACTCGGCCGTTTTGACACATCTTTTTGACAAGGTGAGAATATCTGCAGAGAAAAGACGAGGAGTGACTATTCCACCGAGCACATATTGCTTCCAGTTACCCACCCTGCTCATATCTTGACTGACAGCAGTGTGGTGACACAGGTTTTACATATGATGGGAAAAGTGAAGGAAGACAGCAAGGGGGGCGGGGGGTATTAGCACCGCTGAAAGTGTTTGTTAAGGATTCATGGTGGTGGAAGCTCTTGTCTAGGACCCGAGTTTCCAGTTCACTCCCAGCGTATAAGGCTGCTGTCAGTGCACCAGGAGTGTGGCTGAAATCACATCTGCAGCAAAAAGGAAATGAACTGCGGGATGGAGAGCTGTCAACACTGAGGCTATAAATCTAACAAACACAAATCCCTCCGTCTGTACATCCTGTTTCCAGCCAGCATTCGTTCTGCAGGAAGTTTTTTTTCCCTCCATATAATATTTTTTTCACAATAGAATGCAATAAAAAAAAAAACTCAGGGTGTCTACTCTTGTGTTTGGCAAACACAAAACAAAGCTGGCACTGAAACTGACTTGCACCACCTGGCCCAAGTAAGTGTGGAGGAATGGAAAAAAGCTGAGTGTCCATGTGTGCGTGCGTGTGTGCGCGTGTGCGTCTGCAGTGCTGGTGGTCATTGCTCATGATTTCAGCGTTTGATGTGATCACGCACACCCTGTTTGACTGGCTCGTTTCAAGCGTGTGCGCGCTCACACACACTCCTCTCCTGCCACCACGCACGCATGCACGCACGCAAACCACCACCACGTTGTTTTTTCCTCCCTATTCACGCACTGACAACACAATTCACCTGCAAAGGCAGGTGCACAAGCGCGTAACCCCCCACCACCATGCCCCTTCCTCCAACACGCACGCTCACCGAACCGTGAGAAGTGGCACATGCGGGCGCGCACGCCAACAGTTTGACATACACTTGTCTGCATTGGCATTTTCGCAGCGAAGCTGGATAACAGCAGCAGCGGCAGCTTGGTGGCATCTTTATCTTTTCTTTGGTAATCTATCATCACATCCATCTGCCGGTGCTGGGAAACGGTTTAAATACATGGGATGCACAAAGGGGATTTCTGCCCGCGGGGTGGGAAAAAGAAAAAAGAACAAAATAAGACTGCGAAAAGACACAAGCGAGCATCTCTCGAGTGGAGAAAATGTGAGCAGCCTGTCAGAGTCCCGCTGTTTCATCACTCCCCAGTCACACATAGGATGTTACTTGCGGGCTTTCTGTGTGGTCTTTAAAAGAAAATCACAATCTCTCCTCATTTTGTGACCCTGTCGTGCATCCGTGTATCTCATTAACAAACCGGCTTATTCTGCAAAGGGGTTAAAAAAAACAAAAGAATGATCTCATGATGCAACTTTGACACAAGCAAGCGAATATGGACCTTTAAAGATCATTCGCACTAAGAAAGACTTAACAAAAGCTAGTAACAACAGAATAATAAAATAAAATCAAGCCGAATGCGAGCTGCATTGGGCAGTCACAGGACGGCGCATTGGTTTCGACCACAATCAATTGTTCAAGTGTTGATCAACTTACCGATGAGAGCCAGCTGTAAAAAGTACAGTCCGAGGAAGTCCATTATGGAGTGCGACATTAATTCAAACGGATGCAATCCTGGGCGAGAGATGATGTGCGGAGAATAAAAGCCCGCTGTTTTTGTTGAAACTGGCACTGAAATTAAGAGCGGAAAAAAAAATCGCAGCTATTTCTCAAGTGATGACTGTCCACTTACGCTGACGCCGGAATCCACAACACTGCGTGAAAAAACATTAGCGGACCAGAACATCATTTTCCTTTTTTTTCTTTTTTTTAGCAGGGAAACTTTTGTCTTGGGTTACAGCTGAGCCAGACCAAGACACCGCTACCAAAATCACACCGCGGAGGGAGAAGAAGAAGAAAAAAGAAGCAGTTCGGTCTTTACGTGGAACAAATCGTGTGCGTATTGAACATCCCCGTGCGGTTCATCAGCACGTCCTGAGCGGCTGCTTCCTCTCCTCGTCGCCTCCACCTGCGCGCCGTCTGGAAACTGCGGCTAAATCACTGGCGCGCTGCTTTGCGCACTCCGACCCGAGAGTCAGTCCCCGCTGTGATCCTCAGCTCCCAGGCGGGCCGGCCGGAGATGCCCAACCCAGCTCGTTTAAAAAATCCAATCTTGACCAAAGTTGAAATAGGACAACTTAAATCGATAGGCTATTTCGTTACTGCCATAAAATGGAAACAACAACCCCGCGTAAAATGGTGCATAGCCTGCATCGGTGGGTAGACCATAACCACACTTTTCTGAAAGTAGGTTATACCCCCACACGCACATACACACACACACGCACGCCTCCAAGAAAAAGAAAAAAAAAAGAGTAACTACCACAATCAACTTAAACGAGAATCAGTGAGGCAGCAGAGAAAATCTTTTTAAGGGCCCCCACGGAGGCAGAAGGAGCAGCGGTGAAAACAGAGCCAGGCTGACTCACGGTGTCTGTCTCCTAATGGTAAAATGAAAAGACCATCTTGCAGCCAGCGTGAGCTGTTTGAGGCTACCTGCTGTCTGATGTGCTCATATGGTCCTTTTTTCTTTCTTTAAAAAAAAAAAAAAAACAGAACAAAGAAAATCTATTTTGATCTGGGTTTTGAGGACAGTGGGTCTGATTGGCGCTTCAGACATGTACTGTTATTATTTTTAAGACACAGCCTAGTTTTTTTTTAATCTGAAGGAAATTTGTCACACACCCAAAATCACCGAATTAGACCAGACAAAAGTTACACTTCACAAGTTCTGGAGAATATTCGCACTCTACAGTACATACTGATAGCTGATAGCTTGCCCCCTCCACCCTCCCTCCATCCCCGAGCGTCGAAGCCCACACTCTAGATGACAAACACATTTTTGGGGTTCTCTTCGGGGAGTTGTTTTGCCTCTTCAAGCTTATTTTGCGGCATTTTACAGCATCTCAGGGACACTTTAATCCAAAAAATGTGTCTGTGCAGTATGCAAAAAAAAAAAGACTGATACTCGTGGGAAGGATCATGCCCAATGAATAAATATATAAATAAAAATAGAAACACAACCCCATTCTGTTTTTCACTGTTCTACTTTTCCCCCTCAAAGAGAGTGGGCAGTTTACTCCTCTTAGGATTTGCTTATACGGAGGCTACAGGGAGGGTGAGAAGAAAGATACCGCAGGAGGTGATGAGTTTCAAGGAGCATTTATGCTTCGAGGCCAATAGCATGTACTGCTCAGGGACCACAGCAGACTCCGTTGTTGGTTTTTCCCACATTGCTTTTTCAAGTTTTTCTTTTTAACTATATTTGCTTAGATTCTTCTTTAGCCTGAAGTGAGTTTTAATTGCTTACCGCTCATTGTTTTGTACAAATATACAACACGCTGCAAGTATAAAAATCATCATGATAATCACAGGATGCAAAAAAGTAAACTGAACAGTGAAGCTTTGGGTATTTGTATCACTCTAAAATAGTACATTTTAAATATATAAAACAAATGCCATTGAGGTGCAGTAAGTTTATAAAAAAATCATTTAGAGATGCTGAACAGTCCTGTTGTATGCTGTGACCTGATTTGTCAGGTTGTTAGTTATCTCAGTAAACAATCATTTTAAAATGCGCTAGTGGTCACTCGGGGGCATTCTCTGTTGTCTGCACACACAAAAAGAAAACAACATTCAGCACAAATTGGACTTCACTATTCAATCTGAAGCTTTTGTCTGTGGCAGCTCTGTGAATGCGCATATTTAACAAGAAATAAAACTCAGTTTTAACTTTTCTTTTAACTTTTCAGACAATGTAAAGTCTGAGGTTTGGATTTGTAGCCTGGCAGCTGTCAAGCAGTGCATTAACTGATTGCTCCACAGCAGCAACAGCTGGTGGTTAACTGCCTTGCTCAAGGGCGAGTTGGCTGGGAACACAGAACAATCCTTTTAGGGTCGTCGTGTCTTTCCATTTCCGACATTTCCAAAGTTCAACGCAGCCTCAACCCCTCTCCAACACTCCCTGAATCACAGTTTGTGGCCTCTGATTCCCACCTCTCCCCTTTGAATCAAGCATCCCCCTCCCCACATTGGATCCAATCTTCCTAGTGAAATATCTTCTGCGTCCCCGCCTCCGCTCCAGCTCTTGATGTGACTCAAAAAGCTGCCTTGCCCTCCAAATATTTGCAACACTGATGTCATAAGCCTGGCGAGGATGTGGGACAAGCTCCTGCTGTGTTGGCCATGCAACAGCAGAAAAAAATCTTATAGGTTGATTGAGAGGTGTTAATGCATTCAAATTAATGCCAGCTCCTGAGTTGTTGTTGTTGGTTTTTTTTGTTTTTTTTTCCTGTGTCTGCCTACTGCTGCACAATCTTGCTTAGACACATGGAGAGAGAAATTAGAGGGTGAGACTGAGGAGGAAAGAAAGAGAGAATACATAGAGAGAGATGTGGTGCTGCACCACCTACACACCGCCATTTCTGTGCGACTCCACAATTGTGATGGAGTCACTTTGTAGTTGTGTTATTGACCAGCGATGGAGCTGAATCAGACGCTGGAACAGCTTTCAAGGCCGGAGAATATAAACAAAGACTTGCTGGGCAAGGTACAGCTACATGATGATGACACAAAGCCTCTGCAGTGCAACACTCTGCTCCGTGTCCGTGAAATCTCGTCTCCATCTCACGCGCTTTTCTCTTGTTTCTCTCACCTTCTCGTTTAACCCTTACATAACTGCTTTGCATTTTTGCAAGCAATTTACATAATTATCTCAGATGGATCATTACCAGAGTCGGCCCAATTACACAGTACTGAGACGGGCATTTAGAGAAGCCACACCAAACCAAAGTCTTATATGCCAGGACATGCTCTTGGTAAGATGGTTTAGTGCCTTTGATCATAATCGGTCACGTAGAAACAGATTTGCCAAGAAAAACGATTAGTAAGTAGTTGTTGTTCATACGTGTGCAAAAGTCTTGAGTCACCCCTCAGTTCTTTAAATTTTGCTTTCAGCCACATCTTCTTGTAATTTTTTAAATTGGTCCTGAGCAATAATTATATTGGTCCAGATCATTTTAGAATATTTTTTTTGTTTGTTTGTTTTTTGTAAAGCCACCTAACACTGATCTATGGATCACTCAATCATAAGAAAGGCACCTAACTAAAGAGATGAACCTAGCTACGCATAACAGACAACTTAAAAAGGAATCAAGTTTCAGTTGAATCTTTGGCACTTTGTTCCTAGCTGTCTGTCATAAAAACACATAGTATAACAGATTGACAAGCATAAAATATTATTTTTCCACAAACAAGATACCAAAAAACTATAAGACAAACTCTCGGCATATCTCACCATGGTATGGAGTGTGTTCGTAAAAAAAACCAAACAAAAAAGAGGAAACTGGGGGACAAAAGAAGTGGTAGGTCTAAAAAACTATCTACAGCAGGTGAACAGGATATGAAAGTCATGTCTTTAAGAAACAGGAAAATATCCAGTAAAACTCTGACACAGAACCTGAGAAATGACTGATCCTTCAGGTGATCCATCTACTGCTCACTGAAACTTCAACAGAAATGGTCTGTGTAATTATCAATGTAAAAAAGTACCAGCAGATGTGACTCCACCATTCAGTACTATCTGGAAAGCATTTGATTGGCACCAGATTCATTTTTCAGCACATCGATGATCTGAAACACACTGCCAATGCAGTCAAAGCATACCTGGATAGAAAACGACCCACAGTGGAACGCTATCAGTCTGGGAATGGCCTCTCCAGAACCAGATTTCAGCATTCAAAAAGCCAACATCCAAAGAAGAGCTTTGGAATCCCTTTAGGAAACTATTCCTAAAGCCTACATAAAGAAATTACCTTAGATTTTGCCTTTTCAGAGTTCAGCCTGTGTTGAAGAAAAAAGATACTCACACCAAATATTGATTTCGAAGCTAGTCAGAACTGCACAAACTCAACTTTTGCTAAATATGTTGCATATCCATGTGTGGACTATTATGGGGACTATTTCCCATTTTCCTAGCAAAACATGAAAGTAATGGAGGTGACTCAAGACTTTTACACAGCACTGTATATGACATCCTATCATGCTCCAGAGTTCTTAGCACTTAAACTGTTCTGCAGTAAGGAAGTTTAACCTACTGGCTTTCAGCAACATAGCTGAGGGCAGTGGGGCAGCAAGAAGAAATGAGGGTCAAAAAACCTCTCTGTATCGCACTGACTTTCTATTTAGCCCAAAACACTTTTCACTTCCTCCTCTTGGGCAGAGGCATAACTGAAACAACTGACAATTTGGACTGATGACACTTTTTCTTTGCTGTCACACTGATTTTGGCCCATTTTCAAATTCTGTCCCTGCTGTGGGCAATATTATCAAGCTGTAGCACTACAAAATATTTCCCGCACTCTGTAGCCTTTAACGGCAGTGCAGACATCGTTTGTGAGCAGTGATTTGAAATCTGAGTCGAATGAAACTCAGCACGTCTCATTTGATGTCCAAGCAACTTTTCAGCGGGGAGCGTCTCAGTTGATAGATTTCTGTGAAAAGGAGAAACAATGAACTGAAAAATGTTTTCTCGGTATTAATGTGCATCGTACTGCATTTTATCTTTGGGATAAAGACAAAATTATGTAAAGGGATGGGAAGTTGAAAGGCACATTTATTTTTAGTCACATACTTCAGAATTGCACTGAATGTATCTGAGTAGTTACTGCACAGTTCCAGCAGAAAGTCACCTGATGTCTCTCCAAACAGATATTCTGTGTATCTGCAGTTGGTTTTAATAATATTGTGAGGTTGAATTTTATCCATATATTTCTCCATACTATAATTTAACTTTTGACCATTTCCCCTTTTTTGAACTCTCTCTGGTTTTTTAAACTGTGCAACAGTTTTATAAAAAGCTTACAAAAATATGACACAATGCTTTAAATGAATCCAGCCAACAAAAAATCTAATCACATAATTAGGATTTGTCCACACATTTAGAGAGGATCAATTTAAAATAGGCTAAATATAGTGCACACCCTATGCTTTAAAACACTGTCAGACTGACTCATTGCTACTGACGGTTTCCTCTTTCTTAACCTGACTGAAGTCAGCTGTCCCCAACTCACGCACAAGAAAGGCAGAGGAGAGAGAGCACAGTGGTGATAAAAAAAACAAAAAGACAACAACAAAAAACCTATCGCTTTTTTTCTGAGCCCTTTGCTTCATCTTGTTAGTCAAAGAAAGGTGTGATGAGCTGGGGAAAAGTGAAACTCGGGAGTCGGAGAACCTGACAGCACTGCTTGATAATGTGATGGTGGATGTTGTTGACATGAGACT